GCCCCGGGGGGGGGGGGGGGGGGGTGAAAGTTACTTCGCGTGGGAAGTTTAACGTTTCTGGGTATCAATCATGAAACTTTTTTCCTAGGATAAAAGTGAAAAGTGAAAATTTTCTCCATTAACTTCAATGGTAAAAAATTTCATTTTTCACTTTCCATCCTAGGGAAAAAGTTTTACGATCGATACCCTGAACAGGGAAAGGTGTAGAATAGTACTTAACATCATACATTTATAGCAGAAATAATACGTTAATTAAACTATGATTATTAATAACTTTAACGAAGGACGAGCGACGGCTACAACTTGTTGGAGGTTACTCAGAGTCATGACCTTGACAACATATGTCAAGGTCAAGACGATCGGAGTTGCTTCCGTTATTGTAAACATTTACCAAATTATATGGTAATTTATTTATCGGATAAACAAAAGAGTAAAAGAGTAAGAGCATAACAGATAAAAGAGCAAGACAGTGCACTGAAGTTCAGCTTACTGCCTCACTTTCTTTTCTCTTATGAAAGATGGAACAACCAAGCCTTATTGTTGTAAACTAACTAAATTCAAATTAATAACAGCAAAACGTGAATTTAAAAGTTAAGAAATTAATTTCTGTCCATATAATTTGAGTGCTAAAAAAACATTCTTTTGCTGGATTTTGTTGACTATTTAGGTTTTTACCAAGATATGGCAAAGTAATGAAGTCACTTATTGATGGCAAGCTAAAAACACATCAACAATATCAAACGATCATCGATGAGTATCATGCTCGACCAGAAAAAACAGATAACTTCCTTGCAGCTTTCGATGAGGCAATGAATACCAATGCGAATAATGAACACTTCACACAACAGCAATTTTATCATTTGTTAGCCGACCTTTATGGTGCAGGCGTCGATACTACTCTCACAACTTTTCGTTGGTTCCTCCTGTTCATGGCAGCATATCCGGATGAGCAAGTACGTTTTTATCGTTAAATTTTTTTTTCGTATAAGAGATATCTTTTTAAGTATGTGAATATTTTTCTCGATAGAAGTCATCGATCCATTGTACAATCTTTTCGAATTCTATGTCTTTGTCTCTGTGCAGAAAAAAATTCAGGATGAAATGAACGAGCTATTGGGACAAAAAATACCCACTCTGGAAGACAAGCTACTTTTAATTCGACTTGAGGCAGCCATCGCGGAAACGCAAAGATTGCGGAGCGTAGTACCGGTCGGCATCCCTCATGGGACATTAGAGGTAATTATAGCAAGTGATAACAGACTAAGGGCAGTATTCATAGTGCATTCTTATTTTAAGACCATTTTAAGTAAGTCTTAAGATGTAAATGCAGCTGTCTAATTGGTTATTTATGACATCTTAAGACGGTCTTACATATAAGATCCGACTATAAATAGCGGGTCTCTGTGAAGTTAGCACCTCAATTTTAAAAATCGGAAATTTTAATAACAGTATTGCTTGCACCCGCAATAGTTCTAGAGATCCTGATAGGTTTCATCAATAGTATTGTTGATTTAGAATTTAAAAATTTTAAAAAATAAAAATATGCGGTGCTAACTTCGCGTGGCACCGCAAGATTTGAAAAAGCCGATTTTTATGACGGAATCTTACAGTACTTGAAGAGTACTACAGTTCCTGATCGATTATAACAATAGTACCGGCCATTAAATATTTTTAAATAAATTTTTAAAAAAAGAGCTCGCACCTCAACTTTCAAAAAAATTATTTTTTTTGCGCCATTTTGTAGTACTCGAAGAGTACTACAGTTCCTGATCGGTTTTAGTGACACTACCCACCTTTTTAATATGTTTAAACAATTTTTCGATCCGCGCGCTGGCACCACACATCAAGAGTAAAGTGCCTCCAAACAGTCAGTACTAGCCGACTTTTCGACTTTTTCCGACAGTACTACAAAATAGTTACAAAGAAATATGCAAGTGTCGACCCGAGTACTCTTCGTTTAATATGTTTAAATAATTTTTTAAGTTTTCCGCTGCCACCGCATGTCAAGAGTAAAATGCCCCTAAACGGCCAGTACTGGCCGACTTTTCGACTTTTTCCGACAGTACTACAATAGTTTCGAAGAAATATGCAGGTTTCGACGCGAGTACTGGCTGTTTAGAGGCATTATACTCTTGACGTGCGGTGCCAGCGGAAAAATTAAAAAATTATTTAAACGTATTAAACGAGGAGTACTCGGGTCGACACCTGCATATTTCTTCGGAACTATTGTAGTACTGACGGAAAAAGTCGAAAAGTTGGCCAGTACTGACTGTTTGGAGGCACTTTACTCTTGACGTGCGGTGCCAGTGGAAAAATTAAAAAATTATTTAAACATATTAAACGAGGAGTACTCGGGTCGACACCTGCATATTTCTTCGGAACTATTGTAATACTGTCGGAAAAAGTCGAAAAGTCGGCCAGTACTGGCCATTTAGGGGTACTTTACTCTTGACGTGCGGTGCCAGCGCGCGGATCGAAAAATTGTTTAAACATATTAAAAAGGTGGGTAGTGTCACTAAAACCGATCAGGAACTGTAGTACTCTTCGAGTACTACAAAATGGCGCAAAAAGAATAATTTTTTTGAAAGTTGAGGTGCGAGCTCTTTTTTTAAAAATTTATTTAAAAATATTTAATGGCCGGTACTATTGTTATAATCGATCAGGAACTGTAGTACTCTCCGAGTACTGTAAGATTCCGTCATAAAAATCGGCTTTTTCAAATCTTGCGGTGCCACGCGAAGTTAGCACCGCATATTTTTATTTTTTAAAATTTTTGGCCTAAATCAACAGTACTATTGATGCAACCTATCAGGAACTCTAGAACTATTGCGGGTGCAAGCAATACTGTTACTAAAATTTCCGATTTTTAAAGTTGAGGTGCTAACTTCACAGAGACAAATAGCGGCCCTCTCAATTCTGTAGAATTGGAAAAAAATAAGAAATAAATTAAGAGTCAACAGTGAATTGTGAAACTGAAACTGTGTCCGCTTTTTCTCGCTTATGTGCTGTAAGCTTTATTTTATTGCTCATTATATGCGGAAGAAAAATAAAATGATGCTTACAGCATGCTTATCCATCGTCTACAATATGTAAAATTAGAGTAAAAAATTGACCAATCACAGTTGAATCTGAAAAAAATAATCGACTATGACCAATTAATTCAAAATAAAAATTGAGATAGACTCAATGATTTGCATTTAGGATACACAAATAGGTAATTACGATGTGCCGAAAAACACCATGGTTGTTCCATTGCAATGGGCTATTCATACAGATCCTTCGTACTGGCGTGACCCGCTTTTATTTAAACCCGGGAGATTTATTGCTGAGGATGGAAGCCTCATCAAGCCAAAAGCCTTTCTACCGTATCAAGCAGGTAAATTTAAGTGGGGAAACAAAATCACCCAGACAGCACAAAGTGTATACAAAATATTTAAAATATTTAAAATGTTTTATAAATATTCTCTGTGCAGTCTGAGCAAAAATGATGTGTAATCTCATATAATACTAAACGTACATTGTTGTTTTATGCAATATAATAGGTAAACGTATGTGCGTCGGTGATGAACTGGCAAAGATGATATTATTTCTGTTCGGCGCAAGATTTCTTCATTCATTCGTTATCTCCGTACCACCCGGTACGGATCTTGATTTGGAAGGCGAGTGCGGAATTACCCTGTTTCCGAAACCGTACCGGTTGATTTTTACACCACGACAATAAGTTTACATATACCTGCAACGATATTGTTTTTGTATTTTTGACATTATTATGTACAACAAAATACATTTGAATTTCATGGAAATATTATACGTATACTTTATTTTTTGTAAATAAATATATAATAAATATAAATATATATAATAAATACATAATGTTTAGTCAATAATCAATAACAATAAAAGGGTGAATTAAGAGTCAAATTAAAATTAAATTAAAAATAAAATAAAACTGTTAACATATTTAACTCTAAAATAAAGAATACAAACAGTATGTTAAAATGCGGTTTACAAAAAATTTTATCTTAAAACTAATTAAAAATTAATGCTTAAAATTACAAGTTTCGACTCTATATTGAGTCCTCTTCAGACTTCGAAGTAATAAATCATGTTTAAGAATAAAATTGTAGTAGAAAATTATATATAAAATATGATTAAAATACATTCCTGTAAACATTAATCTAATAGGATATAAATTCATAATAAAATTTTAAAGATAAAATAGAAGATATAACACTTACGTGGTAAAAGGAATTTTAAAATAATCTTTTTAGAAGTTTAGAATAATAATATAGTTTAGAATAATAATATAAAATGTGGAAGTAATCCATTGCAACCAAGAAGACTAGAACCAGGAGAGTAAACTAGCGTGGTGGGGGTAGGTCAAAAAACGTCCGCGGTTATTCAGACAATGCGCAGTGGCATTGCACATAGTATGAAAGTTTGCGCATGCGCGCATCGGTTATAACCAAGTTCCTTGTTCTTAAACTTTTTCGATTTTCTTTTTCTTGAGGATTGAAACAATTTCGAACACAGCACACTCGCTTGGTCATCGTAAGTCACATAGGATAAATTTTTGGCACGTTTTATCTTTTTTAATTTAATCAAACAGAAACAAGGTTTGTTTGATATGCCCAGTTACGAATTGAAAACGACTATCAGAGCGACAGAGGACTAATGAAGCGCAAGAGTAGGGGAAGTTATCCGCCGTCACTTTTTGGCCTACCCCCTCTACCGATATTTGACCGAGTTCACTCTCCTGGTTCTAGTCTTCTTGATCAGAGCGACAGAGAGGATTAATGAAGCACAAGAGTGGAGGAAGTTATCCGCTGTCACTTTTTGGCCTACCCCCTCTACTGATATTTGACCAAGTTTACTCTCCTGGTTCTAGTCTTCTTGATTGCAACCAACTAAAGATGACTTCATGTTAATTATAGAGGCCTTACAGACGGATCGAAACAAATTGAGCCGAAAGACAATTAAATGATATTACAAGATCATATTTTATTTACAATGGGAATATACGCTTTATAGAGACCTTCAGTATCAGTTTGTAAATTTAAACTATGTTTTTGTTTTTTAATACACTGTAAAAAATAAAATGTTAATTTTAACTCAAAGACATTGAGTGGATTTTTTAAGAGTTAAAATTAACATTTTATTTTTTACACTATATTAAGTATCTCAGACACTATGGTTCTTCATCTAGAATTTTAATATCATCCCATTGAAAATCATGATCGTAATTTAATCTATGCTCAGTAATAACCGATCAAGTGGATGTGTTGTGTCTGATATGACTAAAATGTTCGTTAATTTTAGTTTTTAATTGTCTTCCCGTTTGTCTGACATAAGAAGCATCACAATCGTTACACTGGATTTTATATACCACATTATTTCTGGATGTATAGGGACGTGCATCCTTTTGTACTTTAATATATTTACGCATTTTGTTAGGACTATAAAATGATACTCTGATATCATTGTTATTTAAACGCTTAAAATTTTCTGTATGTGAAGGTATGAATAGTACAGTAAGTCAAGAAGTCATTTTTTTATTGTCATCAATGTTGTTGGTTCTTTGATTTACTTTTGATGTATGATTATTTTTTGTCAGGTGTTTTAATAAAGAGTTACAGAATAGGGTCTCAGGCAAATTTTTCGAGGACAAAAATTCAATACATTTCGAACAAATGTGCTTAACTTAATTTGTAACCTTTTTCAGATTTGCTGCTACAATTTATTGCAACGCAACAAGGCATCTTAAACTATATTTATACCACGTACTAATCGTACTATAACCTATCAGTCAAGTGGACCCAAAATGGCGGATAGGAATATCTACATCTCTAGTTCCTTACGCATAAACCATATATGATACATAAAGAATTTGATTGGTTCATTGACTCATGCATAAAAAAATGGGCCAATGAAATTCCTTATGCACATGCTTTATGCGTTATGCAAAAGTGTATGTTTCTCGCCTAATACTGTGTAACACTGTTTAAAACGCACATTACGCACATTATACAAATAAGTAATCGTGAAGAAATGGGGAGATCCTGTTGCATTAAAGGATGTAAATCGGGTAAGATAATAGGTCTGTTCTTTATTGCTGAACTTTTGCACTAGTTCATCTTTCTTCCTTTTCTCTCCAGGAGAAAGGAAAAGGAAAAAAGATGAATTGGTGCAAAAGTTCAGCAATAAAGAACAGATCTAATTCCGTCACATGGGATTCCAACAAATAAAGAACGTCGCAAGTAATGGCTAAATATTTTAAATCTGAATATTACCGATGAAAGTATAAAACAGTTAAGAATTTGTCACAAACATTTTCATGACGCAAAGATTATTCATGCAACCCAAATTATCGAAGATTAACAAATACTCCTGTTCCATGTATACAAGTGGAATGCACAGAAGATCATGGGCAAGAAGTGTATACGCAATTGCATGAGCAACAAGAAGTACTTGAACAACATGCGAGCGGCAGCTCTATTGCATTTTAGTTCCTCAAAGGCCGGGCACGATTTGTAGAGGCGCTGAAACACTGTCAACACGAATAACTATAGAAGTTTACCGGCCCTGCCGGGGCCTGCAAGCTGAGGCCAAAACTGAGGTTGTGCTTTTAGTAACCGCGCGAATCGCGTGGCGCCGTTATCGCTGAAAAACGAAGTATGCTGTCACAAATGTAGCCAAAATCTATGCTCTAAGCAGCTCTAAGCCTATCCAAGCTCCAAGCCATTTTCAGTTCTGAAGAACCACTCGACCGCGGTGGACACGTTTCGGATTGGATGCATTCCATTTTATATTTTTGGAAGTGTTAGGTACCCACCACAGACTTCTATATAGAAGTCTGTGGTACCCACACACACACACACACATGATGTGTAAATTCCGACCGAGCAATCTCCCTGTGGTGCACATCGGATAACGCGAATGCTGGCAGTAATGCCCAAAATCTTGCAAAATGTAAGGTTCTCTTTGGAAGCTGATAACTCAGCTTCTAGACATGCTAGATAATGATCGTGGTCTCGTTTTAAAGGAAACATTTCTAACTTTAAAATGCATGTAATAAGATTTTTCGGCCTGTTCGTATTTTGCCCGTGAAAATTTGGAAAGTCGCGAAATTTTTAGAATTTTAACACGACCTGCTTCTGATCTTCGTGAAAAAGTCCCATTTGATGGGACGACAAATATTATATTAACTTTTTTAAAGAAGAAGTTTCACCCTTTAAAACGCGACCAGAAAAATTATCCTACGATCTCTGGAAGCAGAGATACAGTTTCTTAAATATCGACAAAATTTGTAGGTTTTAAAGTGATCCCCTAATTGTTGTGCGTAGTGTATTATATAACGAAAGAGAGTGAAATACGACGAAAGAAATGGGGTGATGGGGGCGGCTGATGGGGGAGGGGGAGGGGCAGAGTGAAATACCGCGAAAGAGAGGGGTGGTGGGGGTGGTTGGTAAGGGGGGTAGGAGGTCCGGTGGGTCGAAGATGGTGGAGGTACGAGTGAAAGGTAAGAGAGGATGTTAAAAAGTTTTAATGTGGCCTTCAAGGCGGACAGAGAAAAAGGAGAAGGAGACACGTTTCTTAATTTTTCATAAAAATCACCACTTTTTCGACCACTTGTATCTCCAGAACGGCTTGACCGATTTTAAATTTTTTTGGCTCAAATTACTCGTGGCGATGCCGTCTTTCATGACATATAACGTTCGATTCAAAATTTTTTATATTTTAGTAGTTAATAGTTATGCAACCCCCAAAAATGGACTTTGGTTGCTCGGGATAAGAGACTTTATAGTGTCTTTTAGTTTTTGAACATAACCGGAGACACTACCGCGTCTCCTGATATATATATATATATGTATATAATATATATATAGATAATATAATTATGAACGCGTTACCTCATAAAAATAATTAGTTACCGTTACCGTTCTTTTTCCTGAAAAGTAACTCGTTACCGTTCCTCTACTAAAAAATATAACGAGTCGTTATTTTTTTCGTTATTTTTTTTATACTTATAGAATATTATATGCAGATTTTTGCAGTAAATAAAAAAAATATAACAGAGAATTCTATCTTCTAGTAGAAGAATAAAGGTCAAAAACTGAAATAAATTTATGTATATATATATAAATTCTCAAATAAATTATTTACAAAATTATTACTCACAAATTAAATAATGCAGAATATTGCGTCGTGCAAAATCGTATCAACTGTCATTACATGATACGAAATATGTACTCGTATCTCAAACTACAAACACATCGCGGTATATCGTGGCACGTCGTGGCACATCGCGATCGCGTACAATTCCGCTCGAAACGATAAAAAATCGATTGAAATATACAGTACATCGTGTCATTGGGTTTTTTTCATCGACTCAACTAGACTACTGAACTGATATTATACGCAAGAGGAGAACTCAGAACATTAGAACACATTTGCACATGTACACAGCATGGACGCCACCATAAGACCGATAAGACTCCACGTTTCGCGCCGTTATTGGAACCGCGTGCCCGATGCCTGGCATGACGCTCGCTCGGCTCTCCAATTACGAGCTTTTTGTACAACTGAAGGAACTCGTAATGCATGAGCAGCGGAACTATTCCTTTAGCGATTCAACAATCGCTTGTTGAAAGGACTGCGCGCGCAGCGCATGCAAGCAGCAGAAAGCTACAATAAAGCAAGGAACCTAACTTACATAACGAT